TAATATATATAATAAATATATATTATACTATATTAATTAATATTAATAAATAGGGGAAGGAAGAGGCCAATGTGGGAATCGATAAGGAAAGAAAACGGAGAGATATGGTTAATGGACAAACAATACCGCATATGTCCGCACCGGCATTAAAATTGATCAATTTCGTTTACTTCAAAAATTATCCTGAGTAATAACTCAATATTTATTATTTTACCTGCGTCTGTCTCAATATGCCACAAATGTCCAATCTTTCGAGTATCTCCTTCCAACTCTGCAAATTGAGGTGACTCCTTAATACTACTTGAATGTACTTATGAACCTCCCAAAGAAAACCGGATCACGCTGTAGTGATGTGGTATGAAGCGCATACAGTTTATTGTACAGACTGACGCAATTGAATATGAATGTTAACGTTTGCGGGGTTGGAAAACAAATTTCAAACAAGAAAATCTGTAATTCATAAAAATCGTAGAATGATCCCAAAATAAAATTTATCCCACTTGAAAACACTTGAAGTGCTACATGCTCTTTTCAAAATAACCATGTCCCGTTTGATGAGATTAAACTTACTCTTGCTAATACAAAACGTAATTACTAAATGTGGTACAACGGCACCACTTCTCGCATATTTATAAGGATGTTCAATAATTATAAAAATAGCTAACCCCGTGACGAAAATTCGCACATATCTAAACTATTATCATACCATGTCTCAAAAACTGCGCATACTCGGCTTTATTCTTTCACCTCACACACATCCTCTTTTCGCTCATCGATTCAATACAAATATTTCCACACCATAAGTGGGGGGATTCGAACTCGCCAGAAAGTGGTCTCCAGTGACATGTGACGTATCCGCTCTCTCCATCACCCATTCAATAGTTATCGGTTTCCAGATTCGATTCAAAAAAAATATCTTTAATTTTTTTCAATCAAATATTTAATAAAATATGCACTAAAAATTAATCGTTTAGTGTGTCATCCTTATAGGAAAATTTAATAAATAATTCTGTCTTTTTGAAAATTTGGGCATAATGGGAAATACTCACATTAATTCAAAACTACGGAACCCTTTAAAAATTGTTCTTCCATTCATCTCTTCTTTTCTCTTCCCCTCTTCATTTCTCATCACCGCCTCTATCCTCCTTCTTCACATTCTCCTCTCCTTTTTTCCCTTTTTCCCTCTTCCTCGCCTCCCTCCCTCCCTCCCTCATCAATCGCGTCTGCTACAATTCCGTTTCCTCTCTCTGCCTTCCTCTACCTCCAACACATGTAGTTGCAATTCCGCACTTCTACTGAGCACTGGCATCTGTAGGTGTACGAAAAGCGCCGAACCAGCAAGTAATAATATAATGTAAGATCTCATCCTGCAGATTCACGGAAGTGCAAATTTCCGGTCCTTTGGACCGTAAAATTTTAGTTTGGAATGCCCTACGAACACTTTGTTAATTATCTTAACCCAATACACGAGGCATCCTTGCCATGTCTGCGGATTGGCAGTTTCGTCTACCATGATGTACTGTGTCTTCGTTTGTGGCTTTTTCCAGATTTTATAGTTATTCTACTATCAGATTTGCACTTTCAACAAAATCAAAATATTAAAAATGGCTCACCATTCTCATTATAAATGTGTAACAAACCGATTAATGTATGTATCAGTATGTATGTAATGTGCAAAATACGTGACAGCTAAACCCATCTTGGAAAACGTTGCATGATCATTTTATATAATCTATTTCGCAAGGAAAATTTTTTCTTAGAAAATATATCTCTCTATCTATATAATCCTTGGGTAGATGTCCAAAAAGAAATGAACTTACGACAAATTCAAGTTGAAGACGAACATTTGAACCTCACTACAATTATAGGAAACAGCCTCCACCACTATACTTTCTCTGCATATTTCTAACTTTTTGCAATTATTCTTCAAAACTCAAGAGTTCACGGAATTAAATGCGTCATTTTCTTACCTGCTCTTATATCTCGAAGTTTTAATGCAGAACATTTGGAAGCCGTTAATTGAAAACAAACTTTTTCTTCAAATTCCCTTCTCCTCTTAACAAGTATATACAAAACACCTAGGTTATTTTTCTTTCAATTAAATGTACATCGATCTTTCTTACAGATACAACTTTGGTAGGAAACAAATTATTTAAAACAAAAACCTTTTATAGGTTTTAATATTTGTATTTCGCAATGTTCATTATGCCAGGATTTCGAAATGCAGGGGTGGTTGCCAAAATGAACCATCACCAATTTTCTTACCGACTTTGCGCTACTGTTATACGAGTAGACAAATTTCATTGACCATATGATCTATTTGGAGAATTATATTTTTTGAAAATTCCTAATATTTCTCGAAAAAAAAATACCGCAAAACTACTAGCACTATCGAAAATTGCTTAACTGTCCTCCATTTGAGATATCCTTAAACAATTAGTTCATGACAATAAAACTCTATTCATCTCAATATTGTAGGAAGAAATCCGAAAAAAATTGAACCTTTGCAATTTAAAACTCAGGATTACTATACCACCCATCCTTAAGCTTCTTTACGCTATCAGTTGACAATGCGCAACGAATGTGGTATGGCACTAGGGTACTGTTATGTGTCCTTCCCATAGCGAAACACACAAGACGAGATGACATTTGAAATAATCTCTTTTCACGGATTCAATGCCCCAGAAAGGAAAGTTACTTTCCAGTAGAATTTCATCAAACATTTTTTTGCATTATCTCATAACCTTCCTTCACTACTAACATATGGATCCTCATGAATTGTAATATTCGAGAAAGGAATCTATAGATCCATTTTTGAAATTCTAAACAAGTCCATTCTCATATTATAATTAGTTTCAAATATACATCACGTATGTTTTAAAAATCCTCGTGCGACGACGATGTATCTATTTCTTGAACTCTCGGAATTTGTTCTACTCATATCTTTGATTGTCACTAAATTCCTCTCTCAGATCTCTCTATTAACTATATGTTCTCATTCAGACTAGACCCGACTACCTCCTCCGGGAATCGTCTTCCTCTCTCTCATCTTATCTAACCATCACCACCTCACCCCGCCCACTCCACCATGCGCCTCTCAGGTAGACAACACGCCGCGCGCGACCACGCCGATACTGTTCCGTCCACACGCCAGCACGCTGCTCATTCAGCATTCGCCGCTGCGCCTCGCGCACCCACGACGCGTCCTCCTCCTCATTCTTGTCAGCCGTCCCCTCGTCTCAGCCGCGGCCCACCCTCGGGAGATGTGTCTCTGAATCCGCCTCGCGGACTCACCGGGCCCCGAGAAGCCTCGCTCTGCCGTCTATCTCGCACCGCCGCCGCCGCCCCGCGGGGCGTCTATTGAATCGCCTGGCAGCGCCGCCAGTAGCCTTCGGCCGGCAGCCCCCGCCGCTGCGCTTGACGCTTGTCGTGCCAAGCAGTCAAGCGGGTTCACCGCTTGGCCGGCTCAGCCGACAACGCCTGCTGCAGGCCCGGCGTGTCCTGCGCCGGCCAAGAAAGGGTGTTTCCCTCCGGCCAATCTCCGTCGCCGCGCTGCTTCTCTCGAAGCGAACCAACATGACTGCTTGGTTAGAGACAGTCGCGTAAGGTGTGCGCGGCGGCCCGTGCCTCTTCCGCGGGTGGCGGTCGGATGCGCGCCGCGACGCGGCCCGGGGAGCCCCCGGTTCCGGCGTGGAGTAGTGTCGTCGCGCGTGCATAGTGGCGGCGGTTCCACCAAGTGGCGGTAAAGACAGGGAGGCGGCAGCCGCCCCCTAACCTTCTCCCCTCGTCGTCTCTCCCCGGCGGCGATCGCTTTCCGGCTGCGCTGGGGCGGTGTGATGGCGGCCGCTGACGCTTTGACGGTGTGCGGTGCCTTGGACAGGGCGGGACGCGCGCTGGCCATGAAGAGAGCCTGACGCACTTCGTAACAGGCCAGCCTCGAGTACGTGTTCCTGCGCTCAGGAGGTCCAGGGCGCAAGATTCAGAAGTCGTGGAGACGGTGAGTACTACACAAGCTTCCTTCGCCGGCCGGCAAGACTGCCGCCGCCTCGTCGTAACGTCACACTGCAGTAAAGCATAGCTGACCCCAGGGAACGAAATGACGCTGACGGAAATCTGGCTTTTTGAGTGCTTAATGTAACCCTACGATCTTGGAATATTCACCAATTATCATTCTTAAAGACCACATATTGAGATAGCAGGGATGTCTTAGGGCGTGAAAAGGATTTTTGACAGCATGAATTATATCTGATATTTACTACAAGGTAACTGTTTAACTATATATTCAAGTATCCTGTGGACAGTTCTAATTTTTAATGGCTAGACAATTGTCTACATACATTCAACATATAATCCATTAAAGTATACATGTGATCCTTCATATATTTGTAACATCTGACACTTCTTCCGCTTCATGGTCAGCTTGCGCGCCGACTTTTTACCACCGAAGGCACGAAGCTTGCCTGCGATTTTTAACCTGTCATGAATTGAACTGCAGCTAAGCTGCAAAAAGTAAGTTTTTTCTTTTAGTGTGAGCCATTGTCAAACATTCGAAGGGACACTTATGTAATGGATAATGAAACATTGAACAGTTGCAAAAATGGAGTCCAATTCTGCCCACTTTAGGTGATAGTCTTTTCAAAGCATTTGTGATTGGGTGCCACTCATAAACAGTGACAGTCTACAGAAGCGGTGTGTTCTATCCTGCACAAAGAAGGGCATCTGAATGCCTTTATCATGTGTTTGTGGCATGTTACCATTTCCTACCAATGTAGCCCTGGCAATAGAGAATCAAAATTGAATGGCTAAATTTTTTTTTTAAATCATTATTCAGATCTATTTAAGATTATTTGTAACTGATCAATAAAGTCCAA